ACTTACATAAACTTGAAATAATATGTTAATAGTGCAGTTCCTTAGAATAAGTCTAAGTTCAGGTACGGTCTGAAGGAATTGACTTGGATACTCAAACTTTAGTAAAATGATTTTACTTTTATTTATGTGTTAGTGGCACAGTGGTTAAGCACTCAGCTGTTAACTAAAAAGTTGGCAGTTTGAACCTACCCTTCTGTTTTGGGGGAGAAAGATGTGACAGTCTGCTTCAATAATAATTACAGCCTTGGAAACACTATGAGTAGTTGTACTCTGTCCTGTAAGCTTACTATGAGTCTGAATTGACTTGAAGGCAATGGGTTTTGGTGTGAGTTTATTGACTGATTGTGTTTTGTGTTACGGTGAAGAGAAAAATTAAATATTTTTATTTTTTTAAATCATTTAACAAATGTCCAATGTTTGCAAAAAGAAAATGACTGTACATTAAGGGGAAAAAAAAATTTGCCCTGATTCTCCAAAGCTTATTCTGAACCTGACATAGTTTAGAATTGTATCCTCAGTGCAGCAGCTCTTTCCTTAGAACTCAAAATCCTTGCTGCCAAAGTTCCCCTAAACTCATTAAGACTAATTTGTCTCTGTCAGTGACATGTTCTCAAGAGTCAGTTCGTGTCCTCCTGCTTTGTCTCATAGCCACTTTGAATAAGGTCAGTCCACAAGACATAAAGAGAGCCAAAGCTTAAGAATGTATTATAACTCAGGGAATTACATGTTTTTTTCTTCACAAAATCCCATTTGCAAAGAAACATGCTGGTTATGTGATGTCTAAATAAATTAAATGGTGTATTAATAAAAAAATTCTTTCCATTAAAAAAAAAAAACTGAGTGGTCCAAATTAAGCAGAAAGATTCTGACCACCTTGTCTGAAGGACATCAAATACTAAAGGATAATCTCTTAATACTCACTTTAGAAGTGTTTAGAAGTACCATATGTTGTGACAAAAATAAAATTTATAGAATGTTAATTATTTGTTTTAATTTGAGCGTAAATTTTGTCTCACTCCATGGGTCAAGAATGGATCATGTGAATATATTTGGAGTAATACTTCATAAATTCATTTACCTTTTTTTAAAAGAATGAAGTAATTCCAAAGTTATTATCAAGTGACTATATTTTGAAGGACCAATTTAGCCAGTTAAGTATTGGAAGTTAGAAACGACATTCTTTTATATAAATTAGGTAACCTAATTAAAAAAAAAATGCCTGAACAGAAGGATGATAGAATGATTTATATTCTTCTCAGAAATTATTTTAAATCTGCTCTAACATAAAAGCAAATAAATCATTGAGGCTTAAAATTTCTGTACTATGAAACATGACCACAAACACTTTATCCTCTAATGTTTTGTTTAGAGGAAGATCTGTAACTTTGACTTTGAGGACCAAAGTCTAGTGAAGAAGATATTTAACAAATAATTAAAGTGAGATGAGCCTGAAAACTGTATGAGCATATTATTATAGAAACAGAGACAAGGGAGAGATCATGGCTGGTGAAAGCATCTCAGAGATATGATACTGAAACAGAATTTGAAAAAAGTATAGGAGTTTACCAGGTAAACTACAAGAGAAAGCTATTTAGCCTTCCAAAAAATCAGAAGGTTATGAAAAAGAATTATATATTGGGGTAAATATGAAGTGTTTGAGATTGAGAGAGAGTCTGTAAGAGGAAGAAGAGTTGTCAAAGGAATTCAGATAATTATAGAATGTAAGTAGGGGCCTTACTGCCTGTAAATGTTGCTGTTCTTAGGTGCCAAAAAGTCAATTCTGACTCATAATGACCCCATGTGACAGGCTAGAACTGCCTCATAGCATTCTCTAGGCTGAAATCTTTACGGGAACAGATGCCCACGTCTTTTCTCCCACTGAACCACTGAGTGGGTTCTAACCTCCAACCTTTTGGTTAAGAGCTGAGAGCTTAACCATTTGTGCCACCGGAGTTTCTTCAACTTGAACTAAGGAGATTGAACTCTATTCTAGAAAAGAATTTGGGTGGTCTTTGAAATAATGGGATCAGAATAGTGTCTAATCAGATTTACAGCTATAAAAATAATCTTGGAGGCATTGTGTACAATGACAATAAGAGTTTGAAATGAGAGAGACTTATTTCAGTGGAGAGGGTCTTTCAAAGCCCAGATAAAAAGAAGTTAAAATCTAAGTGGTAGAGGAGAGAACAAAGCATATTTAAGAACATTTAAAATGTAGAATTAATAATGTCAGTAATGTCAACAAGAAGAACAATGTATTAGTGAGTAATTCTTAAATTTCACTGTTGCTATAAATCATTTATATGAAAAAAACCTGTATGAATTTGGGGCAGAGATAATTGTTAAATTCTAAGTATGAATATTATTGCTGCTTTTTCCATATGATCATTTAGAAGTGGGTGAGAATTCCTTTAATTTTAGATCTGTGGATTATACTTGACATATTTTGAGTACAATATTTTCAATCCATTTTATTTATTTATTTTTTTCTTTAAGAGCTGCCCACCACTACCGCTGCTTGTCTCCATGTCTTCCCATGCCTCTTTCTCCCTTTGGATCCAGACTGTCTGGAATACTCCTATCTCCACATTTCATTAGCATTGTGACCTTGAGAAAGTCATGGAAACCTCTCTTTGCCAGTTATGTTACCTATAAAATGGGGATAATAGAACCTAACTCATAGAGTCAAAGCAAGGTTTAAAGAAGTTAATGTAAGTGCTTGGTTTACTTTTTGAAAACTAGTAGAAAATTAGTTGAATTTTATTACTTTGACAGGTCCTTTGGCAGGCAGCATGAGAAGAACTCTTAGGATCATAGTTATTTTGAAAGCCAAGAACTTTACAGGTGCATTGGCTATAGTTTCTTCACCCCAAACATGCTTGTTCACAGATATCACATTAGAATTCCATGGCTGTGAAAATTTATGAAATGGGTAAGATAGGAACAAAAAACCACACCAGTTGCCCCTTAGTTAGTTTGTCCCCATGACAACCCCATATGTGCAGAGGAGAACTACACTCCAAAGCTGTAACCTTTAGAAGGAGATCACCAGGTCTTTCTTCTGAGGCACCTCTTAGTAGATTCAAAAGACCAACCTTTGGTTTAGTTGTTGAATACTACCCAGGGACTTCATACAACATAGATCCCTTACTAATTGAGTAACTACCAATAGGTTTGCCACTCCAAAGATTACTTTTTTTCTTTAATTAGTATTCTGTCACTAATTGAGAGAGAATTGGCTAAAATTGGAGTTGTCATTCCCTTCAGATACAGAATTATCCCTTCTCTACACAAAACTATTTACTTGTTCTTTCAAACACAGACAGATTTATTTTTAATTTAAGTGGTTCTAAAATGCTCTAAAGCACATAAAACATTAAATATAGAAAGAAATTGTTTTCCAAAAGGCAAAAATACCATACTTAAAAATGTAATTTTATGTTAGAAGCTTGCCTATAGTTACTAAGCTTTTTTTAGTAACAAAATGTGACTTGGAACAGACTTTATTATTATTATTATTTTCTTTAGGTATGTTTAATGCTGTATGATTTACAAAGTATTTTCATTCATGAATTAACTAGTGGTTTAGGGCAAGAACGTGACTAACCTTGCTAACCAGGTTCAGAATAGGAAACTGAGAGATAAAAGACTTACATGAGCTTCATATTTATTAAGCAATCAAATCTCCTCACTTTGGCTTCAAAGTCAAAATCATTGCTTGATCTGTAGGCATCTTTTTTTTTTTTTTTTTTAAAGAGCTTGTTTTACATTCAATGTCATGCGTACATTTAGTTTCATTCCCCATTTGCCATGTCCAACCCTAACCCAGTCTCCTCCTCTCCCTATCCTGCAACCCTCCCCCTGTGTCCC